AGTGCGAAAGGGGGTAGTATGCGAGCAATATGCGGCAATTCGCATACTCCCTCGCATAACTGAAAGATGAAAGAAATAAAAAACAAACTTTCGAGTAGAAGTGCGAAAGGGGGTAGTATGTGAGCAATATGCGGCAATTTGCATACCCCTTCGCATAACTGAAAGATCAAAGAAATAAAAAATAACTTTGGAACATAAGAAATCGCATACCCCCCTTCACATACCCTAAACCCTAAATCCTAAACCAATATTATATCTTATGATATAATGTAATTTATTCTTTAAATTACCGTTCAAAATATATAAATGAACATTGTTATAATTTTTAATAAGTGGCTTTTTTCTATTGTCAATCAATTTCAAAATAAACCATATTTATCTATATACCTTAACTTAACTCACTTTCAAACATTTTATCTAAGATTGAGCTTGATCATTGTTATATTTATTTTAATAAGTGACTTTCTTCTATTGTCAACCAATTTCACAATAAACCATATATATCTATATAACTTAACTCACTTTCAAACATTTTATCTAAGATTGAGCTTGAACATTATTATATTTTTTTTAATAAGTGGCTTTCTTATATTGTCAATCAATTTCACAATAAACCATATATATCTATATAGCTTAACTTAACTCACTTTCAAACATTTTATCTAAGATTGAGCTTGAACATTATTATATTTTTTTAATAAGTGGCTTTCTTCTATTGTCAATCAATTTCACAATAAACCATATTTATCTATATACCTTAACTTAACTCACTTTCAAACATTTTATCTAAGATTGAGCTTGAACATTCACTAGTAGAAAAAACATCTTTTATAACAGGGTTTTTATAACAGGTTTGTTAAACTCGTTATAGAAACAAATTTATATCGGTGTCTATGACACCTGTTATAATGTTTTCAGATTCTCAATTATCTATAACGGTTATTGAAACAATTGTTATAAAATTTTCCAGATTTTCAATTATCTATATTGGTTATTTTAATAGTTGTTATAAAATGTTTCACATTCTCAATTATCTGTAACAGTTATTTAAATAATTGTTATAAAATTTTCAGATTCATTAAATCCGCGCGTCTCTGTGTCTCTCTGTCTTTCGAAAGTACCTCTCCCTGTATCTCGCCAAAATCACAGACCCTCGACCAAAATCACTCAATCTCTCGAAATCGCCCAAAATCGCAGTCTCAAGCCCTATTCGAACTTGCCCGTCGCCGTTCGTACCAAGACCCCGTCGTCGTTCTCGCTGCACTGAGCCCTCGCTGCACGAACCCTCGCCATCCGGTGTTGGTCGTTCTAAGCCCTATTCACACTCGT